AATTGACTCGTCTTCGGAAACTACGAAGTCGCCAAACATCCCTGAAGCCAAGTCTCGCCAAAATGGAAAGGAAATGTGCTACGATGTTGAAATTTGGCCTAGTGACTCTTCATAGCTCCTAGTTACACCTCCTAGCGATGGAACCCGAATATTTTCCATTCTTGCCAAGTTACAGCGAAATTCCGGTTTTTTTTTTGGGTCCCCCCTCGTATGTACCAAGTGAAGGTACTCTGGTTATCACTCCATGCGCACAGACCATGGATCGTGCAAGAGGGAACGCGAGGTCAAACGTGTGGCAAGAGAGAAAAATTTGAGCTCAAAGCGTTGTTACTGAAATTGACTCATCTTCGGAAACTACGAAGTCGCCAAACATCCCTGAAGCCGTTGGACCGATCTGCGCGGCCGCCATCTTGGATGACCCGGCGACGGACGTTCAATAAAAGCTCAAAGCACACAACTTCGAACTCGTTTCTCGTGGCTTGGTATTATCAAAAATAATCAGGGAAATTCCCTTGAATTATGAGCACTCTCTACTTTTTGAAAATAAAATTACTCAACGAGCTCACTGACGTGTGGAATCAGCAAATAACTAAACTGAACCTTGCAACACATTTTAGCTGCAGATAGAAGAAACAAACCATGAAAAGTCGCTCAAAAAGTATTATCAGTGTACATTGAAAAGATAGATGTCAAACTCAGTTAAAATTGTCTAAACTCAGTGGAGTATTACGAGGTGTCTACTAGGGTGGGTCGAATTTGAATTTTCACTAGAAATTGTTTGTGGCTAGTTAGGATATTATTTTGGTGGGAAATGATGAAGAATCCCCAAATTGCAGCCAAAAATATTGATTTCTTAAGGTTTCGAAATGAGCATTTTTATTTTTATTGCCCCTGATTTTTCAGAGCACTTTTTCAGTAATTTTGCCTCAACATTTTTTATGGACAGAACATAAGCATGATATCAGCGACAGACAATAGCCAAATTTGAAATCTGAGGGTATCAAAATTATTTGTTGAGCTTCTTTAGGTGCTCAAACCCATTACGATGAGAGTGTTAGACACAACATGTTTTCTTGGTGAGCAAGCATGATCGAGAGAATCAACATTTTTTGGGAAATTTCAATTTTCAGCAAAGCACCTACTATTTCAATTATTCAAATAAAATTCAGAACGTCTGAGAGTGAACCAATTATGGATACTGTATCAGAGAAAAAACCACTTATCTAAGGAATCAAACTATTTTCCTAAGCCACCACGCCATGACTGAAAAAACGCAGGAATAAGGGGTGAGAAAAATAAAAAATGCTGAATTTTGGAATGTTCCATTTTAAAATATTTAAAGAGTTCGATTTTAAAGTCTCATCATGCTCAGGAGGTTGGAAGGAACATCATATTAAATAACAAAACGATTCAGCTGACATAAATATTCTTGGTATTCAAAGTATGGTCCTTTCTCAAATGCTAGGGGGTTACGCCTCACGGCCGCTATGCGGCCCAATCCCGTAAAGGCATTCCGCGCCATCAAGCGCGCCGCGCCGCTTTGTGGCCTTTTCTTTCAACTTCTTATCAATGTTGATTATTTTTCCCTGAAAAATTACGATATGAGGTATATTTGCTTCTTAGAACGAAATGATTTCTGTTTGTGTTAAATAGAGAAAAAAAAACTGAAATCAAAAGGCTGCATTAGCAATGATTGATTAAGGAACCATTACAGTATAAGAACGGAAGATGGTTAACAGGGCTTAAAAGATTGATGCGGGGGCCAGGAATTAAATCCACTTCCAACGTCAAGATGAAGGTTTACTTGACGCCGCAGACGACTCAACCATCGCCGAGGCTGACAATGGAACGGTGAATCTTAAGTTAATAGCGTTGAGCTAACGAACAGGCTGCTCGGTCCTTGAGGCCAGTGCAGTTGGGGAGCATTCTGCAAATTAGCCCACTTTTATAACGTGATTGTAAAATCACCTGGGTCCTTTTTCCAAAATCTGAATAGAGTGGGCATCTCTAGGAACTATTACCTGTTGATAGCCACAAAAATCATGGAAATTGGTCGAGTAGAACACTCAAACGAACTGCGACGAAAAATGAAAATTTACACTGTTTAAATGGGAGAATTCCCAACTTTACTACGTAATACATAAAAACCTGAGGCATATTTTCAAAATCTGAATAAAGCGGGCTTGTCTAGAGACAATTGCCTGCTGTTTGCCACAAAAATCATGAAGATCGGCCTGTTAGAACGTTGGAACTAGGCGTTACCAGTTACGCAAAATTAGGAGGTCTTGGAGCTTAAAGTATATATCATCTGTAGGCCTCAAAACCACTGCTATCACCATGATGCATCCGGAAATGTTGACAAAAGAGTGTCCCAGCAGGGTTCAAAATCCCGAAAATATGAAGTGAGTTTGAATAGAAATTGCCCTGAATGCAAAATTGACGTTAGATTTGAGTTAGGCGACCCTCTTTACACTAAAGTTACATTCTGATTATTCCCCGAGTATTCCCTGAGTATTTTTGCTTAAAATCTGGACGTAGAAAACTGCAGCTATCTCCAATTGGGAAATTCTTCAAACTAATGCCAAAGAAATTGACGATCGCCTTCAAACATCAGAGTAACAATTTGTATGACATTCTGATTTTTGGCCAGAATTTACTTGGTGCTCTTAGGCCATAGTTTACAGTATTCATCCATAAAATGATCCGAATATTAGAAGATCATACAAACGTGCCTTTCCGGCATTGATTGAAATTCCACTCTGGCGAGAATAATATAGGGTGTCCGGAAGTTAACATACTTAACTTTCAGGATCGATTTTTCGGCTCAAAATATGACTTTTTTTTCTTCTATACACATATGCCTAAAAACGCTTCATAAGTGAGCTAAGTGCTTCCAAAGTTGTCATTTTTATTCTTTCAAATTGATGTAACTCCTTATCATTTAGTCCTAAGTAACTGAGACTTTGTGCGGGGAGGTTTTTTTTAGCGCACTGTTCATTTTTCGTGTTTTCGCGGACGTACGTCTTTGGAAAATGAGCGTTCCCTGATTTTAAAATTACGATAACTTTCTTAGTAGATTATGTTTGGAAAAACGGATTACGGCACGTTAAAGAACGCGAGAAATCAAGGGCACCAGACAGTGGCGTGGCGTGACTATATCCGGTAGGCGTTCGGTAGGAGTGTTAATTTTAGGACGGGGGGGGGGGTCAGAAAGGTTCACTCCCCTTCCTTAAAGGGGGGTTCGGGGGGCCTCCCCCGGAAACTTTTTAAAAAATGAAGCCGCAAGAACACGATTTTAACCCTTTCTGGTGAAAATTGTGCCGGTAAATTGTCATTGAAATTTTGTTCTTTTTACTGATCGTTTTCCCGTAATTTATTTTGTTAAATGATAACGTATTTTCGCAACACGCACCTGCAGAGAGAGGTGGGAGAGGGAGACTGGGAAACTGGGAGATGCGGCCCGCAGGCGCAGGGGGGAAGCGGAGAGCGAATCGCGGCATAGAGGAAATTCGGCGGTTCGCAAACCCCTGTGGACCACTGCTATAGGAAACAGCTGGACTGATGAGCGGCTCTCCTCTCTCGTTCTTTTCCCCTCCCTTTTCTCTTTGCTGTGTTCCCTCTGCGAGCGCGGTCCGCACTCGTCTCCGAACCCAATGCTCACGCTCCGCTCTGCGCCGCGCGCCGGTGCCTCTCCTCTCTCGTGTACCCTTTGCCCCTTCATCATTGCACCCAGGTTCTCTCTCCTCACCGTACGCAGATCATCCAGGTTCGGTAGCCGGTGCGGACTACGCGTCACAGGATTTTCTCTCTCCGCCGCGCCACATGCCGATGTCGGAAGCCAAGCGCCCGATACTTATTTGCGATCTAATATTCACAATTCTGTATTGCTTCCCACATTCTTAGCCATAATTTATTAATTGTTTCAAAATATTTTAGGGTGTTCGGCGATCACTGCGAACCTATGGACGCCACGCCACTGGCACCAGGTACTGCACAAAATTATCCAAAAACGCGTCATTTCGACACAACAGAGCTTCGAGAAAGTTCCAGATTTTCGAAGCTCCTTGCTGAGTAGGCAATTTTTACTGCGGTGACTGTAGAAAAATTGCCCACAAAGCAAAAAGCAAGGGAGAGCCATCGTGACAGCTTAGGGATTTTCGAAGCCCCTTGCCCACAGGAAAATTGCCCACAAAGCAAGGAGCAAGGAGCAAGGAGGAGCCATCGTGACAGCTTCGGTATTTTCGAAGCCCCTTGCTCCGTTGGCAATTTTCCTACAGTCCCTGCAGTAAAAATTGCCGACCCAGCAAGGAGCATCAATAATCTAGAACTTTTTCAAAGCTCTGTTGCGTCGAAAAGACGCGTTTCTGGAAAAATTTGAGCAGTACCTGGTGCCCATGATTTCTCGAGCTCTTTCACGTGCCGTAATCCATTTTTCAAAATATCATCCATTTTAAAATTAGGGAGCGCTCGTGACGTCATTTTCCGAAGACGTACGACCGTGAAAATACGACAAATGAACAGTAGGCTAAAAAAAACCTTCCCGCCCGCAGTTTCAGTTACTTGCGAGTAAATGACGAGGTGTTGGATCAATTTAAAAGGAAAAAAATGGCAACTTTGGAGGCGCATAGCTCACTTAGGAAGCGTTTCCGGGCATATGTGAAAAGGACAAATGGTCATATTTTGAGCCCAAAAATCGATCCTGAGAGTTAAGTGTTGTAATAGTGAAATATAGTATTAGTGTAGTCAGGTTGTCAATCACTGTAATGCCACACCTGAGAGGATAGTGCGCATGCGCAAGGTGAAGGTTATCTAATACATGGTATCTGTTATCTATCATCAGCTGCAGCCCGAATGGCTTGTTTGCGAGTAACGATAAATAAATCTATAATTCTGTAAAGTGCGTTGATTCATTTTCATCTTATTGAACATAACATTAAGTACGTTGACTTCTGGACACCCTGTATAAAGTATTCCAGTAGCATAGGAAGTAATCTTCTTACCTAGGGCACAACTTAAGGCCTCAAGGATTTGAGGTAACATATTCTTAAATGGAGACGGGTCTTCTACTTTGTCTTCAAGGATTGCACATCCATCGATATACCGATGTAGCGCTGACATAACAGCAACTTGAACCGACCTTTCACTGGTATTCAAACACGATACGCATTGAGTGATTATTTTTTCTTCATAAATAGCTGAAAGAATAGAATTAAAAAGTAAGAATACGATGTTAATAATTTCAAAATTCAGTGACTGGACAAAAACAGTACCTAGCTGGAAGATAATAATAGATGCAGAAAGTCTGTCAGCCAATCGTAGAAAATTATCCAAAGTAGCACTCCATGATCAATTTTTTAGCCCATTGCGAAAGATGAGATGTGAATTGAGAGAGAGAAACGATCCATTGGAAGGGAATGAACTTCGATCTGTAGGGAGGACTGAGGGATGCAAATAATGACTAGAAAAACATTTAGTGGAACTTCGGCATTAAGTTTTGACTAGTATTGAAAAGTTAGGGCCAAGAAGTCAGTGGCTCAGTTAAACATTTTTCGAAGGGTAGCCCGGGACAAAAAACATCTTCCAGAGGGGAGAACCTGGCAAGCAATATCGTCAAACAATGACCTTCTGTAGGGAAAGTTGAGTCTAAAGACTGGTCAGAACCCTCTCTAAACCCATATTTTGGCTACACCTCTAAATTGAGATGACGATGATAACCCTATGATTAGCATTCCTCGGACGATGTATCAGAATAATTCTTGGGTGAAATTCAAATGCATAATGGGTGTCCTCAAAGCATTATCACTAGCCCTTGGATAAGCGAACAAATAAAGCCAGCAAAATAATGTAAGCTGTGCAAGCTTATTTGATCAACAGTTTGCTGAGTAAAAGCGACTTGGAGGCAATGAAATCACACGACCTTTGGCAGATTTTATTACCTTTTAAAGGGGAGGGAGTAGAAGGACTACGGAGTATCTACTTCGGAGTATTCTACTTCCTTTATCTACTGTACAGGGTGGCCTAGACCTGCTGTGCCAGGCCTTTTTCTTGGTCAATGTGGGTCGCACAAAATCCATCTCATTTTAAATGCATAACTCAAGACCTTGTCCCTACTTAATTAGGTACTCTGACGTGTCTTATTACTTTTGGCTGATCCAAAAGCCAAACAGGGTAGGTGGGGGCAAAAGGCCGCACTTTTCCGTTGAGGCCGTCTGTCGGCCACCGTATGACGGCCGCCGCACGGTGGATCGAGTCAATGGTACAGGTCGGTCATGGGCGATTCGGGCGAATCGCATTCTTTAAGGGTCAAAAGTGTTCCTCAAGAGTTATATTTTAAGGATCTGACATTGATTTGGAACGAAACATGTTCATTTTTGTGACCGAGGGCATCAAAGAGGGGCTTTGCGTAACTTTTTATTTTAGCGAAAAATCGTCCGAGTCTTTCTATTCCATTTAACTTGCTTCTGTTTAAAATAATGCTAATTTCATTGACATATTCTTGTTCTTCAGAGTCTGGAGAACACATTGCACTAGTAATTTTTTGTATTCGGCCCATTTTTTCAATGAATATGTTTGCGCTAATGTGCTCATCTCTAAAAGTGAAAAAAAAAAGTTTAGGTAAACTTTTAACTACCCATCCGCCACCATCCGCCAGAAAAATTTGTATAGGCATGTTCGTAGGAGTCCTGAGAATACGATCCCGCATAATTTGGGTGCCACTTTGCGCCACTTAGGCCGTGACATCACTTTTTCTGTTGCATTCCGAGATTGCGCGCGAGCTTTATCTCGAAAATCAAGCGACCAGTGAACTCTCGTAACTGCTAAATGACCCAGGTAGGTATGATTCCTGTTCATCAGAAACTGAAAAACAAGTTTCACCATCAAGACGTGCTCTTTGGCCCGTTTTTCGTATTTTCATTATTTCCTAAACTACATATCTATAGGAGAACTAAAAAAAAAAAATCGGGCATATTTTCACTCGGACATCCCTTTATATTCCTTATAGAAAGCTTTTTTGGGACGTATGCGTAGATAGCTAGCTTGAGGAAACTTTTAGCAAGTAACCCCCCCCCCCTTTACTTGCCTGGCCCCTGACTATGATGCCATTTTATCTGTTGGCCTCCGCGATCCCGCGCGACCGGTCACTGGTGAACTCTGATAACTGATGCTTCTTTCAAATACGTACATATTTTTTAATTTTTCACCTATTTCGATGTAAACAAAGTGCAGTTAGTGCGAAACTAATTACACTGCGAGTACGTTTTAACGTTACAAGTCCGGGAAATGTTGTAATTTTTGCGGTTTTTTGCGTTGCTTGTTTTTTAAGTTTGATGCAGTTTGGGAGCGGAAGACGAGGATGAGAGTGATGGGGAACTGAATATGAAGAAGCAGATGACAGATGACTGTTACATGTTTAAATTTTTTTTTCTCTTCTTTTTTTTTCTAGCCATCTAGTGTTTTTCCTACTCTAATAAGTCCCTGTTCCGTCATCTGAATGTAAATATGAATTTAAAGTAAAAGTGATCTTGAATATTTACAAAGAATTCATAAATATATTTCATTTGTTTTCTCACCGATCTTTATGCATAAGAATAATATCTTATGACAAAGTTTCGAAATTAACTTTGCAGTGAAGGGAATGATTTATGTGATGCAGCAGCTCATAACTGGGGAGGTATTTTTGCGTATTTGTGACACTTATTAGTAAGTTTTCATAATTTTATTCATAATTTATCCTCTTCCATCATGAAAAATTAAAAACTCCGTCCTACGAAGTAAAACACAGACGCCTAAACTTTGCACCTGTATAGTTTTCCCGACAAAATGCACAAATATGGGTCTTCAGGTGCGTTGTTCACCAAAAATAACATCAAAAATGAATTCTACGCGAAAAATTACATGAGATACGTGGAACATAATCGATCAAATGACCAGGAATATTCGTTATCCTCGTAACATAGGAAGCGCAACGCTCCATGACCGACCTCTCCCATTGACTCGATCCACCGTGCGCCGCATTGCATGAAAATTTTGGAAATGTGGTAAAATATCAACTATAGACCTTTAGGCACAAAATGACACACTTCCTAGAATTTTAAAAGTATTTCCGAAATTTTTACGAATTTTTTAAAAATTTCGGATATGCTTTCAAAATTCTGAAAAGTGTGCCATTTCGTGCCGAAGTATCTTTAGTTGATATTTTACCACATTTCCGAAATTTTCATGCAATACGGCGGCCGAAAGACGGCCCCAACGGAAAAAAGTGGCCTTTTGCCCTCACCTACCCTAAATTTTAGGATCTTTTGTAATTGTCAGTAAAATTAATAATATTTAGTAAAATATGTAGTAAAAGATTTAGTATTAGTGTAGTATTAGTTGATAGATTCAGTATTACTTAGTGGTATTTTAGTGAAGGCCGCATGCGGCCTCTTGCCCCATCGGACCTGCAGCTTTTTACCCCATTTGATGACGTAGATAAACATAACCTCAAAATTCAAAGCCAAGGCCAATAACCCAAAAATGACTGCAGGATATTCAAACCATCCTTATCGTTGTTTGAACTGCAGCTCGTCTAAATTTGTTTATCAACTACAGAACTTGAAATTGACCAAAATAAAACTGGAAAATCGATATTTTTTCCACGAAAAATTAACTCTCCAAATATTTTCGAGGGAACGCGTACGTTCGGTCCGAAACTTCGTCAACACAACAACACCACCACTACCAACACAACTGAGACAGTCCTCGTGGAAACCTAAACAGTCCTCGGAAAAAAACTGGGGTGCAGCCTTCTGCCCCCACCTACCCTATATCAAGGTCAAGAGCTGTGATTGGTCCAAGTCATCGAAAAGCCAATCACTACAAATGACCTTGAAGATTCAATGGCTCGATTTGATCATGTGACATCAGCTTTAAGCTTAAACCATTAAAACACGATTCTGTGGCTAGCACAACAACTGACCTTTTGTAGGAAGTTCAAATACTTACTTTGAGTAGCACTATTCTTTGGCCAAGCTTCGCCCAGTGTTATAAATGCAGCTTCTTTTAAAGCAGTCAGTGAATTTTGTTTCTCGGTCTTTTCTTTGAGGTTGTCACTTTCATCCACTAACGACTCACCCCTCTTAGCATTTACTTCTTGAACAATGTCATAAACAGCTGAAAAGCGATCAACTTCAAGTGATCGTAAGATTACACCTACTGCTGACAATGCTTTAGTTCGATACTTGAGGTTTTCTTTTCGACATTCCTTCAAAACTAAATCAGCAATGAGATTGGGAAGGTTATCATTGACTGGATGCACTTTCGGGTATGAATAACACAATGCTGTGAGAGCTGCAAGTAAATTTTCCTTCCCAGTCCAAGTTCTGCCGGCTAATCCTTCCAGTAAATATTCAATAAGTCGCTTTCGATGATCCAAGCTTAATTGTTCTCCCAGTTTGGAGGCCAGGACTTTCATTCCAGTTGCTGCCTGGTTCAAAAGAGAGAATTTCATAAGTTCATGGTTTTCATTTTGGAAAGAGACAAATAAAAAAAAAATCTCTTGTTTCTCTTCGTGAAAAAAAATTTTCGATTTGGTCTCCAAATTTTTAAAGTTAGCTGTGGACAAACTGTATAGATTAATGCAGTTTTTAGCAACAATAAGAACACAAAAAATTGCTTAATGATTTGTTCAGATTATTTTACAAGGATACAACGACCTACATTCCGCAGCCTCCTCCTGTTTTTGCCTATACTTTGGTGTCGGTTTCGAAAATTTCTGAGCAAATCATCAAGCTGATACTACCCACGGCGTATTTTTATGTATGTTGGTAATGTCATGTGGATGACGATAGATCTTTCTAAACAATGAACTTTCGAAACAATGGTCACACTCAGTTGTCGATTATGTAAACTCTAAGCTCACTCTTTCTTACAAAGAGCGACGCCAAGAATGGCACAATTTGGGCCAGAGGAGATTTTTCTGAAACCGAGCCCAAACGATACCTTATGATACCCTAAAACTCTGGTAAAAATTTTAGCTTGAGTATACGCACCGTTTTTGAAAAATGGGGGGGGGCAAAGTTGCCAAATCGCCATCATTCTGGACAGCATTTTTACAACAAAAAGTCAGGAAAAATGGACGAAAAAGTTACATCATTGATGGGTTTGGGCTGTAAATGTTCTCATTGAGCCCCCGTGCATATGATCGTCTTCAGTTTCAAAAATTTTGGACGTACAGTGGTCTAAAATGGGGAGAAATCGTGGACAGATAGGGATTCTTTGTCAAACTTTTTAAAAATGGAAGTAAAATTGTTGGTCTCCTGCAGAGATCATGGGGAACAATGTTCTTATTGGTCTTCAATGCATTCAATTGGGTTCAGTTCATCAAATTTTCATCGCACAATGGTCGAAAATGGGAAATTAGTGGACAAATCAAGATCTTCTGCCTAACTTTCTAAAAATGATGTACGACTATTGGTTCCCAGTAGACTTTAGATCCCAGAAAAATTCTTTAAATTCTTTTTTTGACTATTTAAATCTTCTTTAAATTTTTTCTCTCGATTTTTCTTTCTTATCATTAAATTTCTGAAAGTTTGCATATTTTATTGAAATAATGCTACAAAGTCTTTTCTATAACAACGTTCTATAAACAATACGGTCTGACATTTATAAATAATTAAAAAAAATAAAAACATGAATTTTTCCGGGATTTAAACTCTACTGGGGACCAACAGTTTGACAGAGGATCTTAATTTGTCCACTAATTCCCCCATTTTTGACCACTGTGCGATGTACATTTGTGAAGCTGAACACATTTTCATGCATTGAGGACCAATAAGAACATTGTTAGCCATGAAAACTGCAGCAGACCGACAGTTTTACTTCCATTTCTAAAAATTTGACAAAGAATCCTGATTTGTCGATAATTTCTCCCCATTTTGGACCACTGTGCGACCAAAATTTTTGAAACTGAACACAGTTAAATGCTTGGGGGCCCAATGAGAACATTTACAGCCCAAACCCATCCAAGATTTGACTTTTTCGTCCATTTTCCCCGTCTTTTTGCTGTAGAAATGCTGTCCAGAATGATGGCGATTTGGCAACTTTGCCCCCTCATTTCTCAAAAACCGGGCGTATACTCAAGCTAAAATTTTTACCAGAGTTTTAGGGTATCATAAGGTATTGTTTGGGCCCGGTTTCAGGAAAATCCCTTCTGGCCCAAATTGTGCCAAAAAACGGTCGTTTTTGGCGTCGCTCTTCAGGGGTGATTGTTTCGGAACTGCACACTCTCTGTGAAAATGGAGCATGCAGCTCCGGGACAATTGTCCTTAAATTTGAAAAAAGTGAGGGAGCTTAGAGTTTATGTAACTGACGACTGAGTGCACCCATTGCAGTAACACCATGATTCTGTTGGTATCCATAACATCTGCAGGAGACGTTTCGCGAATGTGAACTTAATTCCTTGAACTCTATCTTATTCTCTCCTACCCGGGTTCTCTTCGGGCAATTATACATCCATGTTGCAAATAAGGTATAATTTTTTCTCTTCTACCTCCTTTTCATGTGCATTCATGGCTGATTTTCTTAGATTCCACAAATAGTTCACCACATAGCAGTGCCAATGTGAACCCAGCTCTATATTGTGAGTAACACTTAAAACAAATCCCTATTAAAATTCAATTTTATTCTAGATGGATATACGTTCCCTTCTAGAAGGAAAGAAAATTTCGCTTTTCGAACGAACTAGTCTAAAAAAAGAACATTCTTACCTGGGCTTTTTCGTTCCATGACGGAGAATCCAACATAGTCTTCAAAAAATTACAAACTGAATCAATATTGCGCAAGATAGCACTTTCACTACTTGGAGCAATATCATGCCATAAATCCTCCCAGACCTTTTTCAAATCTTTATCTTCTGCTTGCATTGCATAGAATGTTAACGGGATCAGGGCATCAGACTGACTTTTAAGTTTGTCAGGACTATGTTTCATCATAATAGCCAGTGCAGATCCGAGAGCACTCCTAATTTTGACATCTTCCTTTACTACGAAAATTGTGTTCAGTTTCTTGATCAATTTGTCCACACTTGAATCTTTAGATATTCTTACGACATGTCCTACCGCTGCAGCGTACGTATTACGAATGGAAGAGTTACGATCGGTCAGACCATTTAAGAGAGCACTGAGAATTTTGCCACTGTAGGGCTGCAGATCTATGTGGCTAGTAGTGGCTTCTAGTACTACCAGAACAATAAAGTGTGAGGCGGCTATTCTAGTGCTTAAACTAACTGAGACACGGAGTAGTTCGATGATTCTGGGAGCTAATTCCTTCAAGACATCATTGGTAAGATACTGCACACATTTGGAGACTGTTTGTGTGGTATAATGTGATTTGACTAGAGATACTCTAAAGTCATCAAATTTTTCTTGACTTGAAGCATCTGAACTGAGGCGTGTGCTTGCATATGCACCTGCAAGTTCCAGATCTTCCGTAGCCTCAAGGAGAGCTGGAATTAATGTTACAAGATGTTCTCTTAGAAAATTTCCAGAACTTTTCACTAGCTCGGACACAGTAAGGAGGCTGATTGTTCTAACCTCCGATACTTGGTTACTAATACCTTTGTCCAATATAGGAGTCAAAAGGGCTTTGATCATGGCTTCTCCCGACTTACCATATTTTGAATCACACCGCCGTACACAAATTTGCGATATGATAGTTGCACTTTTTTGAGCTGACTTTCTTGTACTATCATGTACATCATCCATTACACGGAATAGGGAGGACCAGAGTTCAGGAATACTGTCAACGCACGACTCCAAGGCAGAACTCCCTGGTCCCCGCAGAAAATCTGTAAGAGCGCTGCAACATGACTGCCGAACTCGATAATGATTTGACGTAAGATTTTTTATTAGATCTACAAAAATCTCTTTATGATACAATTCAATGGTTTTTGAGGGCTCAGGAACAAGGGACTGCCAAATGGCTGACATTGAAGCTTGCGTACGAGGAGTTGGGTCAAACTGATATCGATATAAACGAGGAATGATTTTTGAAAGATGAGGGGCGAGTTGTTCGCGGGCATTTTCCGCAATAGATGAAAAGCCAAAAGCAGCTCCTTTTTTGGAGTTCCACAAAGCATTGTGATTTGCCATATTGAGGAATGTGTAAATTAGGTCTGGTTGGTTCATATCCGAGGCAAAGGAGCAGATATCTTTATAAGTTGTTAGGTTAGCACCAGTAGGTGCTTTACCCAATGCATCATCTTCAAATAACTTGGTATCAGAGGTCACTTGAATGACGCTTCTCTTTCCTTCAGATAACTGCCTCACTAATAGGTCAACCAACTCAGCACGAACAGCAGCATCCCCATTATCATAAACCAATGCTAAGCCTTTGGAGCCGAGTGTTTGTACCATTTCGTTGTTTTCCGATAAAAATTCTACAAATGAACTCTGTATTTCTTTCAGACGTTCTAGGACTGGTTTTGCGCGAGCACATTCTTTTGTTATTGTGTAGAGCCATATACAAGTTGCTTGACGAGAGTTAGGATGCAAATATGAGACTCTCTCCAGTAATTTGGAGAGAATTTCATCTAGAATGGGATAAAAGTCTTCTGAAGAATGAGAAAATTCTGATTCACTCATGACCCACATATTGCGAGCTAGTTTATGAGATGAGCCTAGGATGCAACAGACAAGTGTTTCACCCACGGCCAAGTGAATATCAATGTTTTTATGATCTTTTGCTTTAGATAGGAAGGTATCAAAAATTAATTTCACATGGGCACGAGACTGTGCATCCCCAATGCATAGCATCCCTATTGCTTTACAAGCTAGTAACCTAACTTTGGAAACTAATTTTTCGTTGTTGGTGAACTCCATCAATTTTTCAAAAACGTCAAGTTTTCCTGGATTTTCTGAGAGTCGAGTTTTTCCTTCCAGAAGAGGAAGTGGCGTTATTCGACCTAACTGCCCAAATGTGTTACACGCAGCAGACAGTAAAATTGGGTTTGATTGATTTAAAAACTGAAAAGCAGTAAGAATTATTTTTTTCAAGACAACCCAGTCTTGACTGCAACCTACCTGCTTCAAAATTCGCCATTCGATAGCTGTAGCAATAGCTAGCATAGTACCATGTTGCATTTCTAATGCTTTGCTGGCTGGATCTAGAGAACTTTCACAAATTTTGAATATTCGATCATCGAATTCTGTATCTGTCAGAGAATAACTCGTGAACGGTCCATACAGTAATGCAATATTCTCTCGAATATCTTCTCGGCTGTGTCCAAAAAGGGTCTCCAGCAAATCTAATTTTATGGTGAGTTGAGGCACAATAATTTCTGGAATGGTCCCAACACATTCTACCAAGCAAAACAGGGGTGCGAAGTTTACCTCAGTTTCTAAAGCTCTTTGAAGCAGCTGCACATAATCGCTCAGAATTTTGGGTTGTGAAGTGTGCAGATGCTTTAAGTAGTGTGCAACTTTTGGAGTTTCATTCGAGGGGTGCCGCATATGACAGGAAATACTTTTAATTCCTGCACTGTGCTTGAGACACAGACTTAAATCGGAGAAAATGAGAGACAAATTTGAGACGGGCATTGGAAGTCTGGTGCCCGGCTTATTGAAGTCAATGGGAGACCTGGATTCCAGTTCTCGGAGGACGGTTTCAGTCATATTACAAAATGAGGGTAGATCTTCAAGTTTCATTTCTGACTCGATGTTATGATCATAGCCGTACAAATGCTTCTTTGCCTCTTCAGAAAGATCGGGATGACTTCTGCCTGCAATGAGGAGGAGAATAAATCTAGCTGAAGCGTTGGATGTAGGGAAAACATTGACCAGGTAGTGAATCACTGCAAAGCCACTCAAAACACTTGCATCGCATTGCGTCGCCAGAAAGGTTAGCAACTCATCAAGCATGGCCTCATTTATTTTGTTATCTCTGAATGCAGAGGACATACTTATTAAGGCTTCTTTAATGGCCACTTTAGTATCATGATTCTCAACTTCTGAGAGGGCATTGAAAAAATTAAAGACAATTTTGATATTATCTCTGACTAAAAAAGGTACTTTCTTTACTAAAAGACCAGCAGAGGTATAGGCTTGTTGCCGCAAGGTATCAGAGTAATCACTCTTTGGATCAAGTATTTTTAGGAATGCTGAATTTAACAAAACAATCGCAACTTTCTCCAACTCCTCCGTTCTGACTTCACTGATCATTAAATGCGTAAACTGGAAACCGAAAGACATTAGTTTCATGTCCTTGTTTTCTGTGGTACCGAGCTGCAAAGCCAGAAAAGCAATCTGAATACATGCAGGCCAAATAATAGCACCTTGCCGGATTTTAATTAAGATTTCGAGGATTTTCACTTTTACAGCGGGAGACAAAGAATTTTTTTGCTTCGATTTTTCGATCTGAACAGAATTATCGGAGCCAGTGAACAAAGCATAGAGAGGTAGAGAAGTTTCTTGACCGAATTTTTTTATACTTTTTAACAAAACTGCCAGGAGATTTTCGCCTTTTTGACAAACGGATGTTCTTGGATCTTTAGAAGCAATAACAGCATGAGTTAAAAGTTTTTCATACTCAAAAATCTGACTTGATAAAAGCTCAATTATTGTGATTTTAAGCTTCTCTAAATCAGTTTTATCTGTTCTGTAAGATGGGTCTGATAACTCGGATATGACTCTATTGTGAGAGTATTCACTCATGCCGGGGGGTATGGAGTCATATTTTACAATGGGAAGTAAGAGGATGTCCAGGGTGTAGTCTAAAAGAACCTTTGTTAGTTTCGGTTTTCCATCGAAAATGTCATTCCTCCTTTTCATGAAAACACTTACTTTTATGTTGACAAGAGACTCAAGGAAAAGCATGATAATGCTGCAACAAAAACAAAATAAATAATAAATAAGTAAATCTGAAATTTGTTGAGTGGAAATATTTCTTTTTGTTTAGAAACTCGTTAAAGTCTCGTATTTTCGCGAAAAATCGTGTTTTTCTATCACTCTGCGGCTGTTTTGACACCGAGCGCATCGTCCAACTAAAACGAGCTTTTAATATGTTATTAAGGCGGCTTCAGGACACATTTTAACCCCGGTTTGGTTTTAGTTAGAGGATGCGGTCATAGTTAAAAAAAACTTTTTCAAAAATCGGCTTTTAAGGAACATCCGCAAAAATCTTAGGAAAACACGTCTATCGAAGTGTATACACCTTCGTATATTATCGAGGGCAGTTTTCAAGCCCTGTTAGACTCTTACAAGGAGATTTCCTTCAATTTTGACCAAAAAAATTGAATTTTTCATACAAACAGCTGTGACAATAACGGATTTTGAAGTAGTGGAGGCATATTTTCACTAAACGCACAACATCAACTTAAGTCTGGAAATTTGTGCGGGTTTTCCAAGTTGACTCAATGTATTTTACAGAAATAATCATGATTTAATCCATAGGCCACTGGATGCGTGTTAAACGGTTGCCTCAACATAGGTTTGCAGGCGTATTTTAGCGAAAAATCGTGTTTTTCTATCACTCCGCGGCTGTTTTGACACCGAGCGCATCGTCTAACTAAAACGAGCTTTTAATATGTTATCCGTGGAATGTCAGGGGATCCTGAAATCTAAGAAAACTTGTCATCCCAACTTGTTTCTTGCGTTGAAAATTTCTTCGCGCTGTCATTTTAAGTATTCAAAAATTGTTTAGCCTTTTGACCCTTATGCCTACCATCATATTTAAACATTTTGGTTTTCGATTTCGGAGAATATCTGGCAACGCCGTGTTGTTATTGTTCTCGTTAAGAGCAAAGCATTAGAAGAACATAAAGCACTTTCATCATATTCAAAGATTCAGTTTGTCGAAACGTTACACGAATTTTCCTCAGAATTTGAAGTGACTTCTTTGAAATGCTCACCAGAGAAATCACACATGGCTTGCTTGGAGGAAACGAAATGTTCGTTGAAGTGTATTTGCCTTGATCGGCTTGGTGGAAGTTACTTACCGCACAGTTTCTGGGTCTGCATTCCGCTCAAAATTAGTCCTTATGAACTAATAAGATCTCCCATACTGCTGTAGTCTAACAAATTGTCGAAAATGGGCGCAGGTTGCTGTGGATGTAGGAATTAAATTGTCAAGTTAAGATCCTCTAAATTTCTGTTTTTTGACCTTCTTCGATTTTTGTGTGAGGGGAAGTTTTGAATTTATTAATTCTGCTGTGAAAAAGGAGGGGTATCGATAAGGACCTTTTTTGCCCCCCCCCCCCGAATCTGGAAATTAATGCGGGTTTTCCAAGTTGACTCAATGTATTTTACGGAAATAATCATGATTTAGTCCATAGGCCACCGGATACGTGTTAAACGGTTGCCTAAACATAGGTCTGCAGGCGTATTTTCGCGAAAAATCGTGTTTTTCTATCACTCCGCGGCTGTTTTGACACCGAGCGCATCGTCCAACTAAAACGAGCTTTTAATATGTTATTAAGGAGGCTTCAGGACACATTTTAACCCCGGTTTGGTTTTAGTTAGAGGATGCGCTCATAGTTAAAAAAAACTTTTTCAGAAATCGGCTTTGAAGGAACATCCGCAAAAATCTTAGGAAAACACGTCTATCGAAGTGTATACGCGCTACGTATATTATCGAGGGCACTGAGGGCAGTTATCAAGCCCTGTTAGACTCTTACAAGGAGATTTCCTTCAATTTTGTCCAAAAAAAATTGAATCTTCCATAAAAACAGCTGTGAAAATAACGGATTTTGAAGTAGTGAATCCGTTCCTTACAGAATCCGTTTTTTGAACTACAATCTTTCCACAAAAGATCAGTTTAATAGGATGTCAAAATTTTGAAAAAAATCGAATTCGAAAAGGCCTTAGGTATAATCTTTTTCCGTAAGTTGATGTTATGCGTTTACTGATAATGTGCCTCCACTACTTCAAAATCTGTTATTTTCACAGCTGTTTTTATGGAAAATTCAATTTTTTTTGGTCAAAATTGAAGGAAATCTCCTTGTAAGAGTCTAACAGGGCTTGATAACTGCCCTCAGTGCCCTCGATAATATACGTAGCGTGTATACACTTCGATAGACGTGTTTTCCTAAGATTTTTGCGGATGTTCCTTAAAAGCCGATTTTTGAAAAAGTAGAGCGCATCCTCTAGCTGAAACCAAACCAGGGTTAAAATGTGTCCTAAAGCCTCCTTAATAACATATTAAAAGCTCGTTTTAGTTAGACGATGCGTTCGGTGTCAAAGCAGCCGCGGAGTGATAGAAAAACACGATTTTTCGCGAAAATACGCCTGCAGACCTATGTTTAGGCAACCGTTTAACACGTATCCGGTGGCCTATGGACTAAATCATGATTATTTCCTTAAAAAACATTGAGTCAACTTGGAAACCCCGCATAAATTTCCAGATTCTAGGGGGGGGGGGGCAAAAAAGGCCCTTATCGATACCCCTCCTTTTAAAAAATTCCTCCCACAACACTGAAAGAAGTGTAAGTTTTACGAATGGCCGTTATTCATTCTAGGGTGTACGAACGTTGATATGAGTGCCCCAGTTCCGATTTATGTCATCATCAGTGCCCAGAAAGTAAGAATGAAAACTTCAAACGCGTTTTTCTCACAACGCATTTTTTCGGTATGTGCCCTTTTTCTCAATTTTCTTAAGTATGCTTTTTCTTTTCCAGGCACTCCTTGACCCGCAAAATGGCCGCCGCGCAGGGGCGTCATAGCGCGCTTCCTCACCGTACGGAACGCGTAGGCACGGCTCCAGACCGCGCTACCGCGCCGTCGAGTATCTCAACCTTCGCACCCCGTCACCCTCCATACATGCCTGGAATTTACATGATATGCAATTATTATGTACTCTTACCTTGTTTGCTATGCAAAATTCTGTTTTCAGTCAGTAAACTTTGATGCTCGAGCAATAGTCTGTGGGCGAGGTACAACCAGACAGGAAAGAAACGTATTTTGATGACAATTTGATCCTAATTATCGCCCTACATATTTGTGAACGGTCGATTGACGGATTTCAAATAGATCGTAAATTTAAAAAGAATATGTCTACCTCAGAACTTGTCGGACTTAGAATCTAAGAAACAATTCCCAGAAAAAATTTGGCTGAATCAAATTATCATGTGAAAACATAGTCCGAAATTTAGACATGGACACGGGGAATACTTTTGCAATATGCAATTAGTATGTACTCTTACCTTGTTTGCTATGCAAAATTCTGTTTCCAGTCAGTAAACTTTGATGCTCGAGCAATAGTCTGTGGGCGAGGTACAACCAGAAAGGAAAGAAACGTACTTTGATGACAATTTGATCCTAATTTTTGCCCTACATATTTGCGTGGTAGTTTTTTTTTAATCATTCGTAGGTCGATTCATGGTTATTAAAAAGAACAAAAATCAAGGGCGTAGGAGGAGGAGGGAAGACAAAAAAGGAAGGAAAAAGCGGTCGGTTGAGGAATGAGGGTACACTTTATTTAAAAATCACAATTTTAATAGCGGTTAAATAATAAAATGAAAATGAAATTAATAAAATTTGCAAGAATTTTTTTCTTAGTAAATTAAAACGAAGTTAGTCCAATGAGTCATTTTGTTTCTTAGCGTTAGATAGACTTAAGAGAATTTTGTTACCAGACTCAGAGATGGAGTTGAACGTTGAGCCTTTATCCTTAAATGACCCGCGAAATTTTGAATGTCTTCTTTTTTTTTTCTATTAAATTGCAGAGTGCCATCTTACCCTCTCCAAAAATTGCCGAGTTAGTATCACATCCAGAAAATGCATGTAAAAATAGTATGTGATCTTTTAGTTTCGGGTCGGTATTTAGACTTTTAAAAGAGTAAATTTTCGTTTCAACGTTTTGTCTACCAGGTTTTGGAAGAAATATTTCCGTATTTACTGGAGACAACGCAGTTACAATTACAAATAAATCGATGTCTTCTCCAGCAATCACACAATTTTTGGTTGACTCCAAAGACAAGTTCAAGGCCGTTTGAACAATCAGTGGGTCTGCATTTCCATCTGGAATAAGATTTTCAAGACCGATGTTCCTGAATTTTTTTTTGGTAGCATTTCTATCAGTCTTGTTTTGTTTTCGTCATTAGATAAAAACATTTCCTGGGTTAAAGTTACTTTCATTTCCTCATGAAAAGCAATTTCATTGACCATTGATTTACTGTACCTTTGGGATCTTTCTGCATTTTTTGTTGACGGTGTGTCACGTGAGTAACCGTCTAAGATAATGAGGCAATTTCTACCAAAATTCCGAAGGACATCTATAAATGTGTAATATCCTAAGGCTTTTTTTGTCCTCCTTCGATTTCGGATACTACTAGACCGATTTTCCTCAGGTTTGTTTTAAACGAAAGCTCTTGACTTTCTAAAATATCTAGCTTTCTTTCCTAAAATATCTCCAGATGTTTCTGCTGTCTGGGGCCAGACTGCGCGGTATAATAGAAGTCCACCGTCAAGAATATACTTGCTGTTGCTTGGGGCCTTTTATTCTGGTTTCCGCTCAAAAATGGCGTACAAAGAGGGACAATAGGTACGGAAATAACTCATTATTAAAAAAATCCGCAAGGACCTCTCCCCAAGTCATGAAAATGGAGATGCATTGAAATAATCGCAATGGATCATACGTGATGTCATTTTCGTGGACTTTAAAAGTGTTCCCCGTGTCCATGTCTAAATTTCGGACTATGTTTTCACGTGATAATTTGATTCAGCCAAATTTTTTCTGGGAATTGTTTCTTAGATTCTAAGTCCGACAAGTTCTGAGGTAGACATATTTTTTTTAAATTTACGATCTATTTGAAATCCGTCAATCGACCGTACACAAATATGTAGGGCGATAATTAGGATCAAATTGTCATCAAAATACGTTTCTTTCCTGTCTGGTTGTACCTCGCCCACAGACTATTGCTCGAGCATCAAAGTTTACTGACTGAAAACAGAATTTGCATAGCAAACAAGGTAGGAGTACATAATAATTGCATAACATGTAAATTCCAGGCATGTATGGAGGGTGACGGAGTGCGAAGGTTGAGATACTCGACGGCGCGGTGGCGCGGTCTGGAGCCGTACCTATGTGGTCCGTAGGTGAGGAAGCGCGCTATGACGCCCCTGTAGTCCAGTCAATAGAGCACAAATAGGGGCTAATAGAGTAGAGACAATTTCTGAGGAAACTTTCTGATATACTATTCCTATGTATTTTTTATCGCTGAATCCGAATTTCACATTTGCGAACAAATCTGAGGCGAGCCAAAGCCGCCATCTTGAAAAAATGACCGAAATTTGCGTTTTTCGGCCGAAAAACCGAAATAACTCGTATATTATTGAAATTACGGCAAAAGTAGTTATTTTCTAAATTAAAGTACATAAAATTTCCATTAAAAAGAGTCCAAGATGATTAAGAGCAGATGATAACAAATGCCGTTACAGCGTTGCAAAGTTTCAGGCAAGTATTGAGGTTGAGCAATTTTCGTAAAATTCCCTGCAAAAAGAGAGCTTTCAAGGTCATTAAATCGTAATAAGTGTAAGTAAGTATGAATTATAAAAGGAGTGCAATTTTGAGTTCTTGACTTTCAAGACCGGCAGTGGATAAGGAGGGGGGGGGTCTGGTATGAGCGCAGCTGCAGGGTCCTCCGCTCCTCCCCCATTTTCATGGCCCGGGTGCGCCCGGTCAGCCTTCGTTCCCTGGTTATCAGTTTTTCCTTCCTCCACAGGCACCTTTTCCGGAGGAAAAAAACTTGATGTGCCTACGTATAGGTATATTCGCTGATAACAACAATAGCTGCCACCAAGCCAAAGAGACAGGCACTGCTAGCTTGTCAAAAATATAATAGTGGGTCTAAATTTTGAGTCCGTTAAGTTTAAGCGCGCCGACCGCTGTAATCCAATCAGCAGTATGAGGAGTTTAATTTGAATTGAAAACGATGTTGTTTCAATAAACCCTCTCTTATTATTTTGGAGTTATTAAAAAATCAGATGAGGAGCTTCAAAATTTTTAGTCACACGAACTTCCACCCTATCCACTCTCGCTATTTACCGCAGCAGATGTCATGCGTAAAGTTACTATGTTCACATTTTATAATGCATTTACACCATGTCATGGTTCCCCCTTCGCCTCATTGCCTCTTGTTCCATCCTCGTCAATCTCTTCCTTTCACTGCATGTCATAGTCATTGTCCGAACATTCAGCATCTTCTGGATCATCTACGTCATCCCCTTCTTCTTCCATTAAAATTGCGTCATATTGACTATTTTCGCACGAGCCATGGCAATACTCGCATAAAAGACTGCAATGAAGGCCTTCCTTCCAAAAACCGCGGGCGCCGCGACTTTCTTCAATGCACTTGCACGAGATCTTGCTTAAAATTTCGCCCGTAGCAGGATTTTCCAAGGTAATGATGGGGATGAGGCCATTTCTGCTATTCTACCACCCCCCAGTCACACGCGTATTTCTTGATGATCATTCATTGCTATGTACTTGAGGATAGGAGCATGAAATGTGGCAGCATCCTCTGAAGATGGAAGACAAGCGAGATTTTGTACATCGTAGAAAATAGTCCGTACATAGCTTTCATACCTAAATTCAGCCAAAGTTTTTTTTCTACTCACCCTTGTAGCCAATCGATCTGAGTAAAAATTATTTTCCTGCTTTACAAATTTCTTCTTGCTTTAAGGCTGATTTTTTAAGCATCTGAGTTGGCTGAGCGGTTCTCCATGGTTGCTAAAAACTTAACTTTGGCTTGTCTGAAGAGTGGTGATATTGTGTCACACCCACTAATGGCATGAATGAACAGTGCGTGTTCGGCTTTCACTTCATTTTGAAGGCTGCCTCGGTTGAAAAGTATTTAAAGAGTCTCACCTTTGCCGGGTTTTAGAGGGAAAGCATTTTTGACGTAACGTGACTGAGCTGTAAGGAGGACAAGACGATCAATATATTTTCCTACAATGACAACAATTTCACCCTGTTTTGCCGTTTCCAAGGCCTTTGAAACTATTTGATTGTGTCAGTGACCTTTTCTGCTTGAAACACAGACATGGTTTCAGCCCTGAAACGTTTCATGAGCCTTTGGATCAAACGGGATTTGTTTTTGCCGCTTTTCAGAAAATTTGCTTGTGATGTTACTGGGACCATACTTTCATGGAATTTCATTTCCACTGATGAAGCTTGTCCTCTTCGCCATCTTCCAGGTCTTTACGTGCTGCATCTTATAATATCCTTGGGATAGCCGCCGAAAACGATCACAGAATTAGCGGAACATACTTCGATTTTACGTAGGACACATGGTTGTTGCATCTTGATGAAAATGCCTCATTTTGTCTCCAAATCACTCGAAGGAGCAAAAAACGGACATCTATGACATAAGTAGGATTCTTGTCGTCAATTTTATCTACACACCGTGTAAATGTAAAAAACATATCATAAAATGTGGAATTCGCATGCCGTCTGCTAAGTTCAACAAAAGGGTAAAGGGTGAGAGTACGACAAAAAATGTTGAGGTTCCTAATCTGATTTTTTATTAGCAGTTACGCCCCGAAATAATAAGAGAGGTTTCATTGGAATAACATCGTTTACAACTCAAATTAAACTTCTAACCCGGAGAACGAAGGCCGACCGGGCTCACCCGGGCCATGAAAATGGGGGAGGAACGGAGGACCCTGCAGCTGCGCTCATACCGGACCCCCCCCCCTTATCCTCTGCCGTTCTTGAAAGTCAAGAACTCAAAATTGCACTCCTTTTATAATTCACACTTACACTTATTACGATTTAATGATTAGTTGCCTTGAGAGCTCTCTTTTTGCAGGGAATGTTACGAAAATTGCTCAACCTCAATACTTGCCTGAAACTTTGCAACGCTGTAACGGCATTTGTTATCATCCGCTCTTAATCATCTTGGACACTTTTTAATGGAAATTTTATGTAATTTAATTTAGAAAATAACTACTTTTGCCGTAATTTCAATAATATACGAGTTATTTCGGTTTTTCGGCCGAAAAACGCAAATTTCGGTCATTTTTTCAAGATGGCGGCTTTGGCTCGCCTCAGATTTGTTCGCAAATGTGAAATTCGGATTCAGCGATAAAAAATACATAGGAATAGTATATCAGAAAGTTTCCTCAGAAATTGTCTCTACTTCACACCCTATTGACTGGACTACTACGCGGCGGCCATTTTGAGGGTCAAGAAGTGCCTGGAAAAGAAAAAGCATAAGAAACTTTTTTTCGCAGAATTTGATGAGAAACATTTTCCTATATGCAACTCGCCATGTCCAACCATTCTCGAGATACAGCCGAAAAACAGATTTTTTTACCTTTTTGCGCGGCTTNGGGGGGGGGGGGGGGCTAAGCACAAGGGATATCAATGTGGACTTTTAGCCTGTGCCTCATTGGACCCTAACAAGCAACTTTAGCCAATAATCGCTTGAATGGGAATTTTTCCCCCTAATCCGGGATTTTTGATCTAATTTGACTGGACTACTGGTGAGGAACTGAGTTAGAAAGAAATCCGTGACACCATGCCTCCTATAAAATCACGCCTTTGGTTCGTTCAAAAGTTTTCTCTCTCTAGATTACACGAAAGAGAAACGAATTTTAAGCTTGTGCATTCCAACACCTCTATAGATCTTAATTCCTCGGCCAGCGAGATCCCGAATCCTTCGAATAGAATTGCAATGCCGTTTCTTGGAAAAAAAAGTTTTCTCCTGGAGATTTGAAAAATTACAATAGAAAGGAAGTTCCTCTCCTTGATCCATTGACAGAACTATTTTTGGGGAGTAATTAAGGGCCGAAACGGAAATACTGAAAATATAGATCAACTTTACCTTTCCATATTGTTCTGCGGCTTTCCTTCTACAGCACTGAATAATGCTGGAAGTAGGTCCAGCTGCTCCTCGACGCTCATTCGTGGGAACCCTACTTTGATATAAATAATGGTGAAGTTCTGAAAACAAAAATATGAAGTATAAAAGATATTAATTTTCGATTATTTTTTTAATGTTAATAATTTATTTTTTTACTAATATTAATCTGATTTCAGTTATCTGTTAATAGATTTCCTTCTCAATTTCAATGATTTTTTAATACTTGCCAGATAATTTTTATAGAAGTCAAGGACCAAGGGCCAGCAAGGGGTAACCTTCCCCCATCCCCCTTGGGAATTTTGAAGATGGTGATTTTCTTGAATAAGATTGACAGGTAGAATAAGATTTTTTTGTTTACGCGAATTTTATCGTGGTGGTGGGAAGTAAGCCCTCTCCCCTGAGCTTCCCGAAATTGCTCAGAATTCCGACTCTTCCGCGGATTTTCCTATTTTTTTCTAAAAGGCTCGATTTTAGAGCGAAATTTCACACAACCAATCTGAAGGCTAATGAAATTTCATTGTAGAAAGGTTAGGAGTGACTTTGGCCATGACCCGTGGCAACCCGAAATTGAAGGGGGGAGGGGCGTCTTAAAAAGTCAAAATATCTCAAATTCCAGCGAACATGACGGTTTCGCCGCGATTTCTCGCCAATAACGCGGAGAAGATCGGCAATCCCGTAAAGTTGGTGGACCGTCCTCCTGCTACTTGTTCCAAACGAACTGATTTGGGGCCTTGATCTAGAACTTTTAATTAATAATGGCGTTCCAGTCACCACACCAGCGGACATAAACAGTGAGACTGAGCTGTAGGTAGACCAAATCAAAAACTGTGCGATGGCTAACAATCCAACTGCAGTCAACAATTCTCGCCTGTACGCTATCTCCAAAGAACTACTCAATTTAATAAGATCAAAACGTAAACATGTCAATTCAACCAAAAAAAATGGGAAAATGGCACCCACCGACTCGGATTTTTTTATATATTTTTTTACTTTATCTATAGATCAATCTAAGAGAAAGTACCAATTTTTAGCTCTATATGGCGAATACTTTTTGAGAAAAACATTTTCGAAGTTTTATCGCCTTTCATAAAAAATACACTTTTCAGATTTCAAAAACGGCAGTACTTTGCCTTCGAAAAAGCCTCATAATTTTTTTAGTTTTTAAGATTTTAAGCTGAAATTTGGCACACTGGTCCGTGGTACTATGTATTCGAAGGGGAAAATTCCCACTGGGACCTAACATACCCTGGAGCACAAAACGAGTCGAACATACCCCTTTTTTGCCCTGATTTTCGGCTGTAGTACCTTGATCCCTTAAAATGAGCATAACCATGTAAGCTAACAACATATTTTCATTTTTTTTGGTGAAAGTCATCGTTAGGATGTGCTCTGACAGTACATGAAATAAAAATTCTGGGTATTTCACTTTTTCTCTGTCAAATCGCCCTTAATAGCAAAAAATTCATGAAAAAGCAAAAAAACACACTTTTTGTTCCTCCTATAGGATCATTATGAAGCAGCGTGCCAAATGCCGTAGAACCCGCATTTTTCGCCAAAATCGGCCTCCAGACCCATTTTGAGGCAAGTAGTGGACCCCGAAATAGACCGAAACTGACCAAACCATGATGCATTCCGTAAAATATTTCAATGAACAAAAAAGCGCAGACTTGAGGAATTTCAGGGTGGGCCCAAAAATGGCCCTTATCAATACCCCTCCTTTCTTAGATAAGAGTGACAATTTTTAGGAGAAAAGAATAGGGAAACTTGAGAACTAAGAAGAGAACCCCAAGTTCAAATTCTAGGTTGAAAAGAGAATAAAAAAGAAAGAGTTGGACTAAACCGCTGGTCCATCACCATTTCTACACAGTGGCCTGTGAAACTTCGAAGGATGAAAAAATAGTAATTTGGTTGTTTACAGGCGGAATAGGATGATGCTCAGTATCTAAGGGTTATTTGTCACAACAGGAAAAAATGAGGCATCAGCGTTAAAAAATAATAAACTATTTTGAAGATAGCGATCTCAAAATGGCAAAAAATATGTATTTAGTCTATTTACCAACGAATTTGGCTCAAGCATAGTTTTCAGGAGCTCAAGAGTTTAGGGTTGGACACACGTTCAAAGTGAAGCTCTGCAGTGATGGCTGTTTTGTCAAGTATTGCGCATCTGTGTCGCAAAGAGGAGCGGCCCGCTCTCCTTTGGAGGTAATCGATGGCAACACTTTGCTAAACAGCCACCACTTTAGAACTTCACTCTGAACGTACGTCCAGGCCTTACGTGAGTGATATTGTGAAAAACTCAAACCTGAACAAATGAAGAAGTAGTATTACGATAGGTATCTAATAGTTCCAGTAATGGTAGCTGCATCGTTTTGTATGTTTTCAATCTTTTGTTCAAGTGAGTGAGGAGTTCAACAACCTGCAATGTTCCAGTGACGGTAAAATTAAAAAGGATGAACAGACTTCCCTAAAATGTTTCCATGAGTACAAAGGAAAAAATAAACTGCACATGAGTTCAAGCGCCATGCATAGAACTCATGGTTTTCACACTTGGACTGTACCGGGTGTTTCTGAGCATCCGTCCACCATCTTTTTATCGGATACAGCCTAAAATTTAGCTTCAGGATGAAAACTATTACGGGTGAATCAACCCCAAATATAAAAATATGAAAATATTTTCAGCTCCCTAAAACCTCATTGGGGGGGGGGTTAAGGGGGGTACCCCCCGTTTCTCGCATACTTCAAATAGGAGGGTATGTTTTGACTTGGCATTTAAATTCTTTGGCCAAAAAAGAAACTTTTAGTTCTTTGCTTTTTTTCCTGAACCTCCATTGTTTGGAGTTACGGGGCATTTTTTGGGCAAATTTCAATCAGACACTGTGGGCGTTAAAATCCGATTTTCAAAATCTAAAAGTACCCAGAAAGAAGCGGTCAATGTCTTTCTATTGAGGTGGCACATAACTTCTGTACACCCAAAATTGTGGAGGCAACGACTCCCCAAAAATTTTGGGGCATTGGGGGACCGTAAGTCTAAAATTTCAAACAATAAGGATATATTTTGACTTAAGATTTGGATTCTACGCAAAAATTTACCTACAACTGGTATGAAGTATGGCCTATTTGCCCCCCAGAACCCCATTTCCCCATGAGAAGCCCTGCATTTTTGGAGGAAAAATGGGGCAAAAACTTTTTGGGGCAAATAGGCCAAACGTCATAGCAATTCTACTTAACTTTTCGCATCGAATCCAAATCTGAAGTCAAAACATACCCTAGTTGTTTAAAATTTTCGACTTACAGTCCTCCAAAGCCCTAAAATTTTTGGTGGGTCGTGGACCCCATAATTTTGGATCAACAGGGATCTTGTGGCAGATCAATAAAAAGGTATTGACTTCTTCTCCCAGAACACTTTCAGATTTTGGGAATCGGATGATTTTAACGCCTACGATGTCTAATCGAAATTAGCCCAAAAAATGCCCCAAAATGCCCTGTAACTCCAAAAAATTGAGGTTTCGGGAAAAAAAGCGTAGAACAAAAAGTTCTTATTTTTGGGAATAGAATTGGAATCCAAAGTTGAAACTTACTATTCCTAATTGAAATATGCGAGAAACAGGGAGAACTCCCCCCCCCATGGGCCTTTAGGGGGCTGAAAATATTTTCACTGAATTCTTTGAGGTTGATTTACGCCAAATGTGTTTCATCACGAAGCTCAATTCTCGGCAGTTTCCGAGAAAAAGATAGTGGACGGGTGCTCTGGGACACCCAGAATAATGAATTCATTTATTAAATTGTTCCGTGATATAAATGTCATTGTTTTTACTGGGGAATTTTGAGTCATCTATTCAAAAATTTGATGGCAGTTTGATTCACAGTTATTGCAAATTTATAGAGTATAGATATTGTCCTTTCTTATCTTTTACTTTTTTCTCCCCGCAAATGGGCATATAAATTTCCTTTAAATGTTTAAGGTGACGCGATGTAACAAAACTTCGTTGTAATCTCTTAAAACCCTTTACACCTGTTTTAAAAGAAGCAACATCATTTTCTTACCTTGTTTCGCACAGTGTCATGCGAGGTAGACAATTTGAGAAGAACTGGAGCCAAAAATTTAGATATACAATTTGCTAACTGTTCCTCTGAATCAGCAGATCCTACTCTCAGAAAAACACGTTCCAAGAGCACTGAAACACGAAAATACCTTTGAATCGTTTAAAAGTGGAACATTCTGGAAAACATGTAAATTGATGAGAAAACGAAGAAAAAGTTCACCGTTGGAAACCCTCAAGAATTCAGTATTTCCAGAATGAAGAAATTGTAGGTACATGAAAAGAGATTATTCCATCTGCTATTGGTGCTAGGACCAGAACGAAATATTATTGTCTTTGTAGGTACTCCACAGCATGGTTTGGGATACTAAAAAATGGTCGAATTTTTTTATCTGGCCCCCCTTGTGGTTGGGAGGCGGGGGGGGGGCGGCTTCTCAGTTGCCCACGGTCATTTTTTCACCAGAGCGACGATTTTTGCCGCCATCTTGAGTTTGAGAGCACTTCTGAAGTCACCGAACTTTTTCTATGTGAAATTCGAAGTCTACTACCGAAAGTTACGGTGGTCCAACTTAGGGCCGTTCCTGTCAAATCGGGTCTCAACTGCTAGTTGACGAACTACCAGTTAAAGGTAACTTCCAGTTCGACCTGAAGGAGAGTCTTGTCACTGATTTTCAACCTCTAGTTACTGAACAAAGACTACTTGCCAAATAGTGCATTAACATGATTTGTTCCCTCATATCCTTCATCAGGTTGTTTCTAATGTCTGGGAACCCTTGCCGAAAATTCAATTAGCAGTTGAACGAGAGGACAGAACAACCCCTGCAAAGAGGAGGGTGCGGGTGGCGGGGTCCGCAAACCGAGCCCAGGTAGTTAAATCGGGCTCTTTGTGAACCAGTGAAACGCGAAGAACCGGAACGAATGTTTTGTCTGAAGTCCTAGTTGAATCCTAACAGGCAGAAAAAGCACCAGTTGAAAATCAGCCCGTTAACAGCCTCTCAACCAGTAGTTGTAAATTGACAAGACACACCAACCTCTAGTTGGACCTTAACAGACAGTCAACTACTAGTTGAATGATTTGACAGGAACGGCCCTTAAAATGGGAATTTTCTTTCCTCGCCTAGTAAACCACGACGCCCCCTAAAGAGGTTGTTCCAAAAACGCCGATTTTGGCCCCCCCCTGGATTCGGCCCAAACTTTGCTCAGATGTTGTACTAAGTGTCCCCGACGCTTGGGCAAAATTTCAGCCCCCTCGGATAATTAGGGGGGAGGGGGCAGGGGGGCAAAGTTGCAATTTTTTTAAAACTTTAAAAATCGATATCTCGCAAACGGTTTGAGTGTAAGTGTTGCGGTTTGCGCTGAAAAACGTTAAAAAATATTCTCTACAAGAATATTAATGCTGTTTGCAAGGTTGCGTAATTTATCGCGGTCATAAATCGATTTTTTCGATTTTGAAGGTTCGACTTTTTTTCGTTTTTCGTCTCCCCTCTCCAGGCGATCGTTGCTACGTGAATGAAAACCGGTTGAGGTGATTCTCCATGAAATTCTGCATCTGCTATACTTTGTTTGACCTTGGGGAAACGATTCGTTCGTGAGTTATAGCGATTTTTCTGCGCGTTACCGGTTACGCGCGGGCGGCATATCGGCGGCGCTCCATCCCGCACGGGCGAGGCAGAGGTTGTTTCACCGCTAGGGCCTTATATTCATGCTGTAGGCTGTAATTATCGATATTTTCTCCTCCCCCCACCCTTCCCCTCCAATAAATATTGTTTTAATACTTCGTTATACAGGGTGTCCCAGACCATCCGTAACAGGTCTTTTTCTCGGTTGGTTTAGGTAGTACGAAGTGGGGGACCGCGGG